TTTCTTTCTTTCTTTCTTTCTTTCTTTCTTTCTTTCTTTCTTTCTTTTCTTTCCCTTCCTTCCTTCTTTTCTTTCTTTTTTTCTTTCTTTCTTTCTTTTTCTTTTTATTTGAGACAGGGTTTCTCTGTGTAGCCTTGGCTATTCTGGATTCATTTTGTAGACCAGGTTGGCCTCGAACTCACAGAGCTCCACCTGCTTCTGCCTCCCCTGCTATTACAGGCATGTGCCACCCCACCTGGCAATTTTAATTTTTTTTTTTTTTTACAGATTATAAGATACATACTTTTTAAAAAAACATTGAGCCTGGTTCTATAGCCCAGGTGGGCCTCACAAACTCTTCAGTCCTCCAAGCTCTAGACTGCGGTTGTGTGTCACAATCTATTGCTATCTTAATCATTCTTAAAGACAGAGTTCAGCACTGTTAAATACATCATAATGTACAACCGTCACCCCGGCGCCACATTCGCAACTTGTTATCTCTGTCTTTACGCAACAGTCGCTCCCCTCCCCCTGCCCAGCCCCAGTAACCAAGGCCACCCTCATTTACTGAGATGAAAATGGCAGAGGGGAGGGGCCGAAATTCCAACTGTGTCTGACTATGAGAGGGAATACAGTAACAACTGGGAAGGGGCAGAGAACGATGAGAAAAGCGGCAGCGCCATATGCCACCATAAGGGCTGGAGAGAGGTGGGTCAGAGAGAAACCCAGGAGCCAGGATAACTCCAAAACCTCAGGCAGAAGAACTTGGCAACAGTGCTACAGGAGGTAAAGGAGGCTGGGAAGGGGGCTTCCTGGGGCATATTGTATGTGATCATGCTCCATTTGAGATGCCACTGGCTGGATAAGGAAGTTAGGCTGGGAACTTTTGAACCTCCGGGGTCAGTTATGATGATGTTTAAGTAAGGCCCTGGCCAAGACTGGGAAGGGAGCAAGCACCCACGAGGAGGAGCCCCAGGAGCCTGAATCAACATAAGCAGAGAGGAGAATCTGCAAGGTGATAGACAGAGCTATAGCAAGGACCTTAAGAACCAGGGGAGGGCCTCAGAGAGGAAGCAGGGAGCCTCATCACTCATGGCAGAACTATGATGGAGAACTATGGAACATCAGCTAAGTAGAGGATGCTGGCCATATTGTCAACAAACAACCTGGTTTCTCCCATGAGACAGTGGGAAAAGGGAAGGAACCAGCATGGATGGAAATACTTAAAAAGACTTAAGCAAAATGCAAGGCATGGACCAGACACAGAATGATGGTTCTGAGGAATCAGGGGAGCTGGCACCTGGACAGAAATGAGGTGCTGCTGTAGTATTCAGGAGCTCAAGTGTGAAGCACCTAAGGAAGAGCTGCAAAGCAAAGAACACAGAGCTTCACTTAAGAAGTCTCTAGCAAAGAAAAAGAAGAGAAGGACCAACCTTGAGGCGATGCCAGAGGGCGTCTGTGTGGGCTCGTTATTCCCTGGATTTTTTTTGCAGCCAGTTGTTTTTCCACAAGAAGTTTAAACATTAAGGAGCGGTGAACTCTTAAGGGCTGCTGAGCAGAAGAGCAAGCGGAAGGCTAAGACAGGACTCCTGAATTAAGCAAGATGGCAGTCACCGCTGATTTCCATCAGAGCAGATAAGAGTGGAGACAAAATCTAGCTGTGGTGGATTCCCATTGTTTAATGTTTGGAAAGGATCACAGCAGCCTGAAGGCTACTCTTTTGAAGAATTTTGCTAACCACGGAACGAAAAGGAGTGGGGGGCTGGAGAGGGAAGGAGGAAGAGGAGTTCTTTCACAGAGGCACACACACATGGAGTGGTAGCATACATAGGTCAAGCACCCACGTATGGTGGCTCAAGACATGGGCCAGAGAAGGGTGTTTGACTTCTACTAGGCCACGTCACCAGGTCACCTGAGTGGGCTTCAAACGCTTGGAAGCATTAGGCCAGCATAGATAACTGAGTCTAAGCTGTCCTTAGGTCACATGGGGGTGAGGGTGGGAGGGGACAAGATGCTGCCCTACTGCAGCCTGCTGGGCCGGAGCAGATGCTTTTGTGTAGCCCAGCAGGCTACCGATCGGTGTCTGCAGCCCCACTGCTCCAAGACCTGCCATCTGAGCGGAACAGAAAAGACTGCCCAGCTGAGAGCATGCAAAATCCAGCTGGTACCATCTTGCTACCAATCCATACTGAGAAACAGGAGTCCTCCCCCTCCCCCACCAGGGCAGCTACCCCAGGCAAGCTACAGGCCCATTCCTGGAGTCCTGGAGCCCTAGAGAGAACGAACCACCTCCTCGGGCGATGGTCGCTTTTCAGGCTGTGCTCTTCCATCATGTACCAGGCTGTCTTTATAGCCACTTGCCTGTGGGGTCCCCTACCCTAGACCCTCGGACTTTACTGCCCTTGGGGAATAAGTGTGTTGCGTGTCATATCTGATTATTATTTATGTTTGTGTTACTGTGACAAAATGCTTGATGGAAGCATCGCAGGAGGAAAGATTTCTTCTACCTCATGGTTTTGGAGGATCTGAGACCATCACAGCAGGAGGACGTGGTAGAGTTCATGGCACTGGGTATGTGTTGTGGTGTGCTTCATATCATGGTGGACCAGAAAGGGTAGAGCCAGAACCAGGGATCAGGCTCCCACCTTCAAAGGCCCACCCCTTAGTGCCCACTTTGACCAACCAGATCCCACCTTCTAAAGGTCCCACGGCCTTCAAAATAGTTGCCACAGACTAGGCAACAAGCATTCAAAACTAAACCATTCAGATTCAAACCATAGCACTGACCACCCAGGCACAAATTCAAGAGAAGGTTATTTCTCATTCAAAGTAAGTTCTAAATGGGAGTTGGTGGGGACTAGGAGCCTTCTCTGAGCAGCAACTTAGGGACAGAGCTCTTTTCACTCTCGTTCAGCAAATGACCTTCTAGGTCACTGTGAACTCTGCATTAAACTGGCAAATGACTGGACATGAGGTACATGTGGCTATCTGGAGATTGGCATGGTTGGTGTGGAACTGTCCCAGTATCCACACAGACTCCTGGCTATGACTGTCCCCTGCCCTACCTGTTTTAAGGGAACCTGGTTCAGGTGTGTGCCCAGAGAAAAGAACTGGATTTGATGGCCTCATAGCCAGCCTGGATCCAAGATCCCCAGCTCCTCCACCACCACTGCCTCTGGTATTCCCTTTTCAGGCTTCTTCTTTTTCCACCCACTCAGGCTTTGGCCCTATTGACCCTATGCCAGATCCCATCCTTCTCTGAGTCTATAGCTTCATCTGGCACGTGTCAAGGCCTACAAAAAGCCCAGCCATGGAGGGTCAGCGCACAGAATATGTTTATTTCTTGTGAGTTTACAGAACCACAGCGCAGAGCAATAAAGTGTGGGTGGCTGGGGATGGGAACGAGGGCCTCTCCCACTGTATTCTCTCCTGCTCTTCTGCCCAGGCACAGATCCACCTCAAGTGTTCAACACAGAGTTAGGGGCCCACAGCTGGAGGGTGGTGAGTGAACAGAGAGGGTGGGGAGACAAGAGTCAGTCCTCCTAAAATAGGGTAGCAGGAAGAGTTCTGCAACTCAGGGCCATATAGGATGAGGTCACTTCTCTTCCTTGCCCTACTAGCCTCTCCATTTGGGCTGGCCAGCTAGTTTCCCCCAAAAAAGGATATTGGGGTGCTTCTGCCAGTAGTGCTGACTCAAGAGCATAGAGGGTTTACTATGGGGCTTCTGAGTAGCTGAGTCCCAGGGTGTCCACTGACCCTGAAGAACACTGTCTTCCCTGGTCCTCTTGACTGGGATCCTCAGAAACACTAAAGCCACTCCTTCTCTTCATTTTTGGAAGGTAAACATCCCAGCAGGAAAGTAGCAAAGAGACTGGGTAGGCGAGATGGAAGGTTCTAGAAGCCTAGTCACTTTACCATCACCTTGGTGGAGGCTTCTCTGAGAAGAATCCCATGCTACCTCACTAACCAAAACTCTGTTTTGCCACATGAGAGCTAACCAGGCATGCAGGGGTGCATCTATGAGGATGAGGGAAGCCCAAAGGCCCCTCAGGCAGGAAAAACCACCTCTCTGTAGTTGATCTGGAGCCCTCTCCCATCTCTAGGATGGCCAAGGGGATGAGGACCAAAGTGCAGAGAAGCCCTGGAGGAGGGGCTGAGGCTGCAACAGAGAGATCAACAGACGCACAGATGGGTGGGGGCACTGGCTCGTCTCTTACTCCCCATTCCAGCCACGGCTCATGGCTTGCACCACAGCTCCATAGAGTTGGCTCCAGGCGGCCCGTGTCGCTGGTGTAAAGTCGGGACCCAGACACTTCTCCAGCATGTAAAGCAGGGACTCACCCACTGTCTGCAGAGGCGAGAGGCACCCAGTCATCCGAAGGCAGGAAGGCAGCATTCCATTTACAGGGGAGAAAGCTGCGGCCCCAGGCCAGGAAGGGAACACAGGCTTTTCTTCTCCCTGGCAACAGTGCTCATGCTTTCTGAGCAGGCCCTGGGTTCACCCCGTGTCCTCCTTTCCCTCTACATGTGAAGACGTACAGTGGATAACTGCAACTACCTCACAAGAGAGGCCTGTGCATTGCCTATAACCTGTCCGCTCGGCCCCAACCAAGTCAGTGCTTGCAGACCTGTTTCCCCCACCTGCGAGGCAGTCGCCATGAGATTAAAACACCTATGCTGGGGAGCCAGGTAGGTGTGAGTTCAGATTGTGACCAACACACATGGTATCTGGATGACCTGGAGCAGTTTACCCTATCGCTCTGAGTCTCACCTGTTTCACGAGGAAAACAAAACTCCAGGTTCTGCAAACAGCTCTTAGGGCAGCAGCTGCACACAGTAGGCCTTATTGTTAATCGAGTGAAACGAGGTTTATTTATCGCACACATATTACTGAATATCCTGTAAGGAGTAGGCAGCGTGTAAACGCCCAGGTGGAGAGGCAATCAAGACCATCCAGGCCCCCTTCTCACAGAGCTTTCCAACACTATCAGGGCTGGGGTCTCCTTGAGCCACACCTGGAGCATATCTGTAGTGGGGTCTGATCCTGTCTTTGACATGAGTTACCCTCGTGACGGGTTCTGGCTGGTGGGACGTTAGTGACAGTGGTGCCAGCCAAGGCTTTATAAGCTCTTGCACACTGGGGCTTGTTTCTGGGTAGCGGCCTGAGTAGTAGTCTCCTTGCTGAGATTTAGCTAGCATGCGGAAGGCCTAAAAGCTCACAGTTCACCTTAGACACCCTAGCCCCAGTAGAGCTGGCCTCAACACAAGGATGACTCCAACCAGACTCCAGAGAAAGAACTTCCCAGCTGAGTCTAGCCACAAGAACTCAGGACTTGCATGAAGGGAGGACAGGTGGAGTAGTTTGATACTTATAGATAATCAAATCAACTGATGCCAAGGGCTGCTGAGCCTTCATGTTTTTGTTGTCTTTTTTTTTTCCCCCAAGACAAGGTTTCTCTGTGTAGCCCTAGCTATCCTGAAATTCACTCTGTAGACCAGGCTGGCCTCAAACTCACAGAGATCTGCCTGCCTCTGCTTCCCAAGTGCTGGGATTAAAGGAGTGTGCCACCACTGCCCAGCTGCCTTCATGGTTCTCTTTCATTAAAGAGAACTCTGAGGCTCAGGGAGGTGAAATTGGTGTCAGTCACGTAGCAGGCACGTAACTAGGGTGGCCTGGTCTGTTTCCGGTCATCTGAGGAACTGGAGCTGTGAGGTAGGGGAGCAATGGGTTGGCATTGGGAGAGAGGGGCAGCCACAGGTCTGGGGCTCAGAAGTAAGAAAGTATCCTGTTACCCACCGAGAAGGAGCAGAGGCTCACTCCCACTGCCCGGTGCTTCCTGCCCAAGCCGGCCAGGTACTCCCCCAGTGAAGACAGGTCCTCCACTTTGGTCACTGCAGCGTCAATCACTAGCATCACCTGCCAAGGACACAGAGGGCACAACACAGTCCTACCTGATTACCACCACAACCAAAACCCAGCCTTCTCCACAAGGGAGGCTTTCAGAACGCTGCTGTCCAGGATCGGAGGTGGCAGGCCAGGGTCTGTATACAGTAGGTGTTCAGTCTGTGCTGACTCCACTAACTGAAATTCACTGATGAAGCCCCCCTCTTTTGAGGATCTCCAAACCTCTCACATACCTGCAGAACAGTATTGCCTGCACAGGAAAGGGTAAACTGAAGTGCTGTAAGGATCACAAGCCCAGCCTTGTGGTTCCCAAGTGGCCAAGATCCACCAACATAATCCATGGAAGCCTGAGAACAATTTACCTGGCTAGGTCCCGCTGGCTTGACAACAGGGTGGAGGAGGATGCTGGGTCCAGAAAATGGTGTGCGTGTGTGTGTGTGTGTGTGTGTACAAAACTTGTGTATGTGTCCTTATCCCAAGTTCCTCCTTCTTTTACCAAGACAATGTTCTGCAGATCTGAGACCTCATGGCTCTGCCTCCCTCACCTTCCTAATGTGGTCCAGAAATTCTGGGGAGGAGAGGCAGTCCTCGGGGCTGGAGAACTGGCGGCCGTTGTACTGGAAGAGAGGCAGCAGGCTGGGTTCCAGGGCAAAGAGCCTGTGGGTTGAGAGCAGGGGTCATCAGCACAGGGAGTGGCAGCCACAGCAGACCCTGGCTGACAGGAAGAAAACCACAGTACACTCCCAACCTAGCACTCCCAGCTTAGTCTGCGTCCCCTCATTCCGTCTCTGGATGCCCTCCAGAGGACACTGTGGACCCAGCCCCTCACATTGCCTGGCAGACAGCAGCCCCTCCCTAAACAACTGGGGGCTGAGTTTGGGACGGGAAGAATCTCAAACCAAAATCTAGGGGGAAACTTCCCCTTTGGATCAAAACTTCCCAGTGTACCTCGTTGTATCTGAGGAGGCTTAGAAGGGTAACAACCTCAAGAAAACACTCCTTCAACTACCGAGCACTGAGCATTTCACTTGTGGTTGACTGCAGTTGTATAGCCCTCATACTTTTATCCAGTGGGTTCAGAGATGCCCACTGGATAAACAGATGCCCAGAGAGGCTAAGAAAGCTGCCTTCAGTTACACAGTGATGCCACAATGGATACCAGAGTCGGGGAAAATGAGTTTAGAATATAGAAATTTTCAGCCTCACTGAAGAGGGCTTTCATTTTTGTGTAACTCTTTTGCGAGACTGAATTTATTCCCCTTCCATATGGGAGAGGTTTAGCAAAAGTTCAGTTCCGAAGTTTTGGAGTGGCCTCGGTAGCTGTGATGAGGGAGGGAGCATGGCCCTTTGGTGACAGCGGAGCCTGAAGTGAGGCTGAAAATCCCTTCTCTGTGGGGCCTGCACCTTCTCTCTCTCAGTGCCCACTGGTGAGACTGGACTCCTGCCACCCCTCTCCTTGAGCATCTCTAGTTCTAAGCCTGTGCTTTCTCTGAAGGGTTCATCTTGCTGGTGGCTGAGCTCTCCTGGGCCTCCTTCCACTCCAGGGTGGGTGGACGGGCGTGGAAGCCCGTCCCACCCATCCAGGTGCCTGCACACCCCAGCTGGCCTTCAGGTCACTCTTGTGGGCGGCCCTGTAGTCACTACCTACAGGACACGGAGACAGCACAGGAAAGAGTAGGGGACACTGCTTCGGATGGGAGCCGCTATCTGGGAAGAGTAGATGAGGCAGCACCACCTGTCGCTGCGCACACACCCCTCTCTCCGGAACACCAATGCAAGCCGGCCCGTTTCTCCTCCTCCGTGAGCCAGCAAGTCTCGAACCCACTGCTGCCAGGCACCCCTCCACTTGCACCCCAGTGGCCCCCGCAGCTCTCACCTGGCGAACAGGACAGTGCCGTGCTCCACAGGGCTGCGGCTCACCGCCAGCCAGCTCTGCCGGATCAACTCTGTTTCTGGGTGCTCCATGTTCTCTCTCCCTGGAGAAACGCGGGGCGCAGGGATGGGACCCTTGGGGCGTGGGCGTCCTCACCGCATGTGCAGCGCCATCTCCGCGGCGACGAGGGAGAGCCCCCCTCCCAGCCCAGTGCCTTAGTTGGGCGGAGCCCAGCAACTGCGCCTTTGCTGGTCCAGCCCAGAGGATGCACACCGCCAGCTTGGCCCAGGGAGCTTCCGGGGACCCCTCTCGGGCTGCTGCGCCCTGCTCGCCCTGAAGCTCAGAGAACCGCCCTTTAAAGCTACGGTGGCTCCCACTCGCTCCTACCCGGGGAGGTTTGAGCGCTCCTTCCGTGCCCGCCTTAGACAGGGACTACCCGAGGTCTGGGAAATGTCCAGGCTTCCGAGCCTTACAGAAATTGCCAAGCCTCTCGGCTTGTTTCACTCTTGAAACCTAGTGATGTGACTACTTATCTGGGCTGGCTTGTGGCACAAGCCAGAATTAGAGGCCGAAAATTGAGAGGGTTAAGCCACCCTGAGCTACATAAGTTGTCTCATTTCCCCTCCCGTAATAAGTAAATAGCTACTTCATATTTTTACTGAAGAGCCCGGAGGCCCAAAGTTCAAGGTCCCACCTCTCTACCAGAAAACTCTTGGGCTTGCCATCTCCAGTGCTCATGGTCTTTGCTCACAATCTCTGACTGCTGTCTTTCCTAGAGTTCAGCTAGGGGGACCCACGTCACCAAACTGGTCTGTCTGTCCTCTGCTCAGGCCCTGGGTCTGACTGGGGCACGTGGCACAACTTTAAGCCTACCAAAGCTCTCGGTTTAAGGGGCTGGAGGCCAAACCACAGCCCTTTTGAGCCAAGTGTGGGCTTCAGGCTCAGGCCTGTTGGATCAGAATGAATGCCCCTCTCCAACCCCCACCCCAGGTATCCCAGAACAGTAACTAGTAATATATTACCTACACATACTTGGAGTTAAAATCAAGTTCTGCCATCTCACCACCTACTGAAATGGTGACAAAAACGCAAAGCAAAAGAACCTCTATAACCCTCCAAAACAAAAACAAAGAAACCAGGGGCTAGGGAGATGATTCAGAGGGCATCCCTGCCCTTTGCTCTTAGATTGAGGACCTGGGCTCAATCCACAGCACTCAAAAAGAAAACAAACAAAACATCCAGGTGTGGTGGTACCTCTAATCCCAGCACTTGGGAGGCAGAGGCAGGTGGATCTTTGTGAGTTCCAGACCAGCCTGTTCTACCTAGTGAGTTCTAGGAGAGCCAGAGCTACACAGAGAAACCCTGTCTCAAAAGGGAAAAGGCCAGGTGACTGGAATATTAGCACTGGGAAGGCAGAAAACTGTAGGATTTCTGGGGCTAGCTAGCCAGTTCAGTGGGCTCCAGGTTCAGTGAGACTGTCTCAAAAAATTAGTTGGAGTGACTAAGGAAGACACATAAAATACTGTTTTCTACAAGTAGTTCAGGTGAGTCACATGCTGCTATTCAGAATGTGCCGCTTGGTGGCTCTCCTTCAGGAAGGGGCGTTCTTTGGCCCCAGCCCAGCTGCAGTGGCTCAGGCACTGGAGAACACGCTTCCTTCATCTTTCACTGTTTTTGAGTCTCCTCTGTTTCCTCAAACTGTTAAGGGTTTGAGTAGCATGGCCACTAGAGTCCTTTGTTGCATGGATACAAATCAGTGTCCCTGATCTTCAGTTATGAAGAGAGTGTGGCCCTGTGGGCAGCCCCACGCTTGATGTGGGGTGTGCAGTTCGTGTCTTCTAGAACTTCTGCAGGCCTTCTATCCTGCTCTATGAAAGCATCTACTCACCCTCTCCTGTGTGGTGTTTGGGCACAACCTGTTCTACTCTTCTCCACCTCTCTGTGTATCTCTGGGTCCCTGGACTAGAGCGGGAGAGTAACACTTTGGGACAGTCTGGCAAAAGGCCTGTGTCCTAATGAGTTCTGAAGACCTCAAGCAAGAGCACAAAAGGCCGTCTACACCTTCTGCCGTCGACCTTGCTGGTCTGCACCCTCCACTCTACTCTGCTTGTACTTCCTTGGAAGTCCTCACTCTGGACCCTTCTTGTCTCTTCTCTTGACAGCATCCAAGGTCTGAAGGGTTCATGGGAGTAATGGACTCTTATGCCCTATGTGGAACAACCAATACCCAAACCCATAACTCCTCTTTGTCTTCCCAGAGCCAGAGGTCACAGGACATTGTGTGCTCCAATCTCTGCTCCCCTTGGGGAAAGGCCTGGGAATCTAGCATAGCCAAAGCAGTTATGGTGAGGTGCCCCAAACACCGGTGGTTTTGAGGGGCCAGAGAGGTTCTCTCTTCCCTGTGGGCCGTGCAGAAGGCTAAAATCTAGAACAATTCAAGTGTTCTCTAGTGAGGACTGTCACTGTATCATTAACATGTCCAGGCACTGTGACCATTAGCAGTATCCTCCTAACAGTCCTGTGCAGGATATGCTCTTTATTATACTCTCTTCATAAGAGGTGAGGAAACGGGAAGTAAGGAAGTTAGCTGGCCCAGTCACAGAGTTAAAAACAAACAAATAAAAAACAAAATGGAGGGGCCAGAGTTTGACCTCAGGTCTGATAATCTGGCTCACTTTCTCCAAGGCCTCCCACAAATTAATAGACCACAACCAAGAGCCAGGTCCATAGTTCAGACTGAGCCAAGGTTACTGGGTCTGAGCCAGAGTGTGCTGTGGCCAGCTTATACAGCATCAGTGCTGACTATGAATCTGTTCTCAGCTTCTCATTTGGTGACATCAAGTTAGTAGCTTGAATCAAACCACAGAGGAAGTGTCTGCACCATGGACATTGGCAAATGCTACAAACTAGGGTTTAGTTTTGCTCCCATAGGAAACCTGTTATTAAATATTTACCTCTACTGGTTTGCACACCCCTGGGGGAACCCAGAAAGCCTGCTGTCCTAGCTAAGCTATGAATGCACTATGCAGAATGTACATCAGGCTGAACTACACCGCTTTCCAGCTGTGCCCCAGCCTCATCTCAGTGTCCAGGGCCACCAGGCTACTCCAGGCAGGTGCTTCCAGCCCAGAAGGAGGCTGGAGCTAGAGGAACACCAAAGAACTTCTTTTGCACCAAGTTCTGCCCTATGATTTTCTAATTGTGGATTGTTAGGTAAGTAATATAATCTCTCATGGGCACAATGGAGACAGGAACATTGTTTTCCCTGAGCTTTCAGGAATACAAAATGTCACATGTATCAAAATGATGTTAACAGGCCAGATGTTAGCACACACCTCTAGCCCTGCACTCTGGAGGCGGAGGCAGGCTGATCTCTGAATTTGAGTCCAGCCTGGTCTACAGAGTGAGTTCCAGGACAGATGGTACTGCACTGAGTAACCCTGTCTTGAAAAAAAAAATACATAAGTAATCTCAAAAAATAAATAAACCAACCAAACAAAAATCACAAAAAAACAAACCAACCAACCCAGCCTCAAACTCAAAAAGACAAAAAACCAAAACAAACAAAACAAAACATGTTTACTAAGCTGTTGCCAATCACAGATAATGTGGTCCCTTTCTGACTTGCCTGCCCCTGGCATCTTCTACCTCCAGAGTGATGGTAATGACCTGTCTTCCTCCCCAGCCTGCCTCCTTGCCTTATGGTCCTTAGAGGGGTTACAAGGTAGTACAGAAGACTCTCAGTTCACAGAAGCACTAATTTCTTTGCCCCTTTAATCCAATGCTAAGTCAGCAGCCACCTTCCGTACATATGTGGGGCATGGAAAAAAACCCTGAATGAATGAATGCAAGGAGCAGATGAAGCCTTAAATGAATGTGTCTTATCAAAAGGGACCTCAATGCTTCAGACCCATGGCAATTGGCAAAGCCTTCCTCTGGTCCCTGTGGGAATGTTGACAGATGTAAAGAAACATGAACCCTAGCTTCCTCCTTCAGGATGTCTCCTCCAGCAGCCAGAAACTGCTCCCTTACAGAGACCTCTGGCTGAGCCTGGCTAACTCCTTTCCACGCTGTATACAATAAACATACTGAGCTTCCAGGCAAGTAGCTGTGCGTCTCCATCAAAGCTCACATGTCCCACCTGCTCCCAGCTTTTCTCTCTGTGTGTCTGGATGATTTCTGCATCATCCCAGTCAGGTTTTAAGGACCATGCCCTGTAGGACAGGGTGGATCCTTTATAGCTGGCACCCTTGACAGAAGACCATGCCAGGATGGAGCCCTCTGTTATTTGGAATGGAAATTTGCTACCATGCTGGGCTACATAGCTCTCTCAGCATTGGGTGGGGAGTGGGGATGGTTCCCTTGTTTCCTTCTATACTATCTGGGAAAGTTAAACAAGAAAATGTAGGCTCAGATTCTTACTGGTTTTGGCCTAAGGAATAGAAACAACAGCCACTATCTCTCAAGTAAGCAAGTGCTTGGGAAGGCCCACATTCCCCTGGCATTAGGCTCTGCCTGGCCAGAGCCTCAGCTGGAATGAGAATGGCCCCAGCCATGAGATACCATATTGGTTTTCGCCATCCAAACATTTTTCTCAAGGACAAGTCAGATCCAATTAAGCACAAGAACAATGTAGTGTTGAAAACAAGAGCTATTTATTACAAAAGTAATGGTCTCTGATTATTCCTGGAACTTAAAAAAACAAAGTGTAGTGGGTCAAGACACTGGCTGCGTTAGGCTGCCTGGTGCATCTTCCTCCGTACCAGCCATGTGAGATGTACCACATCTCTGTCAGTTTCTGAGGGCTGCAGCCCACATGCAAAGCAGCACCCAGTGCTCCTCCATCTTCCAAATAGAACCCAAGTGTTTAGTGATACAAGTGGCCTTTTCCCATTGAAGTATCTTCCAGTTTGGGTATGGAAGAAGAGGGAGTGAGTTGGGAGCACCCTTCATCCCATACTTGGAAATAAGAAGAGACCCTTTCCATCTTCAGGGTGACATTGGGGGAGAGCATGTAGGAGCCCGCTGAACTCTCCTACATACTCTGGCTCTCGAACATTGGCCCCTGGTTACTCTAAGATTCCTTCCCTCTAACGAGTGCCTCCAGAAATAAGGCACAAGAAAAAAAATCAGCTGGGTGTGGTTTGATTGTAATCCCAACACTCAGGGAGGCAGAGGCAGGTGGATCTTTGTGAGTTCCAGATCAGCCTGGTCTACAAAGTGAGTCCAGGAGAGCCAAGGCTACACAGAGAAACCCTGTCTCAAAAAATCAAAAGAGAAAACAAAACAAAAATTCAGCCACCTGTTAGATGTCCCATGGGCCACCTTGTTAAGAGCCAAGAACACATTCCTACATCCCCTTTCTCCAGGAAAATCTGCCTAGATGGTACCCCACTGTGTTCAGAAGAAACCAGCTTTCCCTGGGCCTAAAAGCAAGGGT